GGTCAGTGCAGGGAGGTGGTCACTACAGGGAGGTGGTCAGTGCAGGGAGGAGGTCAGTGTAGGGAGGGGGTCAGTGTAGGAAGGGGGTCAATGTAGGGGAGGGGTCAGTGTAGGGAGGGGGTTAGCATAGGAAGGGGGTCAGCATAGGGAGGGGGTCAGTGTAAGGAGGTGGTCACTACAGGGAGGTGGTCAGTGTAGGGAGGGGGTCAATGTAGGGAGGTGGTCAGTGTAGGGGAGGAGGTCAGTGTAGAGGAGGAGGTCAGTGTAGGGAGGGGGTCAGTGTAGGAAGGGGGTCGATGTAGGGGAGGGGTCAGTGTAGGGAGGGGGTCAGTGTAGGGGAGGGGTTCAGTGTAGGGAGGTGGTCACTACAGGGAGGTGGTCAGTGTAGGGAGGGGGTCAGTGCAGGCAGGTGGTCACTGCAGGCAGGTGGTCACTGCAGGCAGGTGGTCACTACAGGGAGGTGGTCAGCTACAGAGGTTCTACTGTGTACTTGCAGCACAGGGGGAAGCGCCTGGCGTAAACTAGGGCTCAGGAGTATTTATCAGATGAAACTCATCATCATTTTGCCTTTGGTAATTATAGTAATGGGGAATGCCTGCATTGCCAACACTACATCTCCACCCTTGTGCCATCACAAATGGTGCCCCAGCAGAAAGAAAACACCTTACAAGAATCGCCAAGGACTTTGACCTTATCACAGCCCCTGCCCCCTCACCACACAAAGAGCTGCCCATCAGGACCAAGTCCCAGGGCCTCACCCCAAAGTGGCTCCCGCGCCAGGGAGGTTGATGGGAACTGTCCCTCCACGGAACAGTAAATACAGTCACACAAGTGTTCTGATTAAGCCATTGAAACAGGAAAGCTGTAAGACACTCGAGAAAGGAATTCAAAGGAATCTTCAACCAAATTGAAAAGTTCTGACCCCAGGGAGAAACATCTGGGTCACTAGGGCTAGGAATTAGGAAAACCAAAAACGAGACCCTGGGATAAGACAAAATGGTGAGAGCTGATGGAAGCCCCGGGCCTGGGGGGAAAAAACCTATTTAAGCCCCAGCTGGGAGGATCTAACTAGTGGACCTGGAGGTGAGATATGACCCAAACCATTTAGGGGAGCCAGGGGGTGAAGGAGCATTTCTGCAGACACTCGGGGGAAGCAGAGACATTTCAGACTCAAAGAACTGAGCCCAGAAGTGGCTCCACTTACAGAACTGTGCCCTGGTCACTCTGCGTGAGTCTGGATAGGCTCAGTGCTCTGAGGTCACACCGGGGCCTGGGGACTTGGGACCGTGCGTTCCCCCCAGACCATGACCTTCTCTTGACGACTTGGTGCTGAGACTCCATCAGACCCCAGTTGTATCCTTTCACTCATTAGCATTGTTATTTTTCTTCAGATTTGTTCAAAACCAAAAGTATTGACAGAGAAAAAGTTCTACGCAGAAGCTTCTATGCCAGCCTGGCCACACTGGAGGCAAACCCCATGACCAAAATTTCCGGGTAATATTTATACTCCTTTTTACGATGTATGTTCCTAGCTATCATCTACACACATTTTAAACATAACTTGATGTAAGTTACACTAGATCACTGAACATCCATGAATTATGTGCCCTCCAATGATTATTTAAAAATAAAAAGAGAACAATGCAACGACCTTTACCTGATTTGGAGAAGGCCAGGATCTGTCTCCCATTGATTGCTTAAATATATTCTGCACCTTTCAAGGACAATCTCTGAAGGAGAAAGTCAAATATATAATTTCCAAGAAGTTAAGGGGGAAATATTGGTGCTGGGTTCCTTTCTCCACAAATGATGGTTCAGGCTATGAGGGACTGGGGTTGAGGGGGAAGGGTGTCACATTAGCTAATCAAAAAAAGAAAGATAAAGAAATAGAGATCAGAAGATTTCATACTGAAATAAAGAAATTCATGTTGCCTTAAATATAATTTGTGTTAGTTACATTTCAATTCCTAATTTATACATAGCAGGGTTGATAAAGAATTACATTATAACAAAATTAGCCGGAATAATTAGCATAGCGTATGTGCCACTGATTAAGCCCCCAGCAGATAGCTTGGTAATTAAGATCCGTGAGTGCCATATTTTGAGGCTTTGTCATCTTATTATCTGCCTAACAAGTGCCTCATCTTTACCTCCCTTCTGATTTGAAGTTTGATAGCAATCTCTACTAATTCTCGTTTTGTTTTTTATTCCAATGCTGATTATTTTTCCTATGGTCACTACCCTCCCTCTCAAAGTATTTATACAAATGGGCGACTGCTAGATTCCTTTCTAAATGTGAGGCATTTGATGCTGTAAAGCATTTGCGCTAAGAAATTTAAGCTCAAAAACTTTTCCAAATCCCTAGTTCTTTGGCCAAAAGAAGAACCAGAGATAGATCATACTGTGCAATTTTGTCAAATGTCTGAGCTGAAGGCAGATCCATGGAGTTCCTAGCTCCTCTCTGGGCAGAGCCCATTGCCAGCGTCTGTTTCTCAGTGTCTGTGACACTGGAGGACAAGCATGCAGTGACTCTGGCTGCTTACTCATTCATGAGCCCAGCCCATGGCACCACTGTTCCTTCACTCGGGGAGTCTGGGGTTGGCTGCTGTCATTGCAAAATCTATTGGGGTTTTATCAAAGAAGGCAGGGAGCTAAAATTATCAGAGTAGAGGCTGGGGGAAATTAACTCTAGTTCTTCATTACTGGCTGAGCCATTCCTGGTACATCTCCTTAGGTGGAAACCAGGACATTTCCATGATTTAATGGAATATTAAGCACACTACCTATATGAACCAAGAATGCCTTCAGCTGCAAATAACAGAAATACACAAAAAGGGCTTAAGGTAAAAAGAACTGTGACAGAAGTCCAGAAATGTCATGTCCAGTCTTCTTCCCTCTTTCTGTTCCACTCTTCTTGATGGTTAATCCTTCATTGCATGTCCATTACCTCATGGCTGTGACATAGCTGCCATGGCTCTAGACATCATGTCTCTTTCAATAAGGAAAGCAAATAGACATACCAGCGCTGACCATGCCTGCTCTCTCTGGCCAATGCAAGGTTTCCAGGGAGGCTGGGGCATTGAGTAGCTGATAAAGGAGACAACGACTAGAGTTATTGATTTAAATCAGCATGATTCATCCCCAGGAGGTGGGTACAGTGCTGCAGCTATGCAAATCCAGGAGATCTTGGGCAGGTGGGATAAGAATGGATGTTGGGCAGGAATTACAGTATCTGACACCTCAAATGCAGATGGAACAGAACCCACAAAGTCTTACACAGGGAAATAGAACCAACAAGAGAGAAAGAGACGGAGGAAGAAAAGGATTTATTTTAAGAAAATGATTCATATGATTATGGAGACTGCAGGGCAGGTGGACAGGCTGGAGACCCAGGGAAGAGCTGAGTTTGCAGAATTCCCTCCTACCCAGGGAGGGCAGTCTCTAGTCAGCCCTTCACCTGGCCGGCTGAGACCCCCACATTAGGGAAGGCCGGCCACTTGTTTTACTCTGATATAAAAGGTGTTAATCTGATCCAAAAAGCTCCTTTACAGAAACATCCAGAATAATGTTTGACCGAGTATCTGAGCACTGTCACCCAGCCAAATTAACACATAAAATTAATCAGAAGAGAGAAAGTAAAAAATGAAAATGTGGCAAGATGTGGTAGCAAAGTGGAGGAGACTCAACAAAAGCCACAGGGCAAGCCCTGGGCCCCCGGAGCCCCAACACGCACGACATTAGTGGGGACATGGGTTTGCGTGGGGGCTGCTGTGAGGAGACCCAGGAGCACAGAAGACAGAGGTCAGCATGGGAAGGGGCCTCTCCCCCCCCCGAGTGCCCAGACATCCACACAGGTGCTCTGCACCCCCACATGGCCTGGGATTAGTGCTTGGAACCAAGTTTGCCAGCCTCCCAGGGCAGGGAGGCCACAGCTAGTGTGTAGGGTATTTTTTCTTTTGCTCATTTCTGTGATGCTTCTATCTTCCTGAGACCAGCCAGCCCCCCTCTGAATTTGGAGACCAAAGACTCTGTTCCATCCTATCCAGTTCCAGGCATGTCCAGTTTGTAGGGGATCAGCTCTCCTGCCGCGTGAAGTGAAGGAGTGTGAGGTGCAGAGTGTTAGCTGATGTCCATTTCCATGGAACACAGGTTCCCAGTCCAGTCTGGGGAAAGGTTTTCAAAGCTTCAGAATCAAGCCTCACTTAAGATAAAGGAAAACATTACTCAACAATACCTCTGAGAGCTTTCTCTGAAAACATCGTCCCTCCTCGCCGGCTCACAGACAGGTCTACATCCTGAGTCTAGAATGATCCTTCTGCGTGGCTGCCAGAAAGATTGCTTCCTGGCTCCCTGAGGACGGATGGCAGGGCGTTGGGGAGTGGCCCTCACAGTGCCGTAACAGCAGCCGTGTCCTCTATTTATAGCAGCCCACACAGCACTCTGGGGCCAGCTGCAGCCCAGGGACTGGGCTTAGGAGGAGGGGAGAAGGGTTGAACCAGCCACAGAGGACACCACAATGTCCGGCGTTGATTGTCTTCCCCACTACCCGCTGGACTCTGACTTGGTGAAGAGATTGAAGTCTGCCCTGGATGCCAAGGATGAGGAGAGAGTGAGGGGTGTGATCTGCTCTGAAGTCCAGCCTGTGGATGCCGTGATAGAGCTGGCCAATGACGACTGGATGAAGGACCCTGCGGTTCAGCTGCCCCCTGGCGTACTACTTGGTAAGCAGACCACGTCTGCAAGTCTAGAACTAAACCACTAAATTATGTGGGTGGCTGGGTCATTCCTGGGGGTGGGGGGAAGTGGATGGGAAAGATGGATGCCATGTACTCGGATGTCTGAGCTGGGTCCCTACGTGCAGACACACGCCACATGTGGGCTGCGTATGTCCACTACAGGACAACACAGAGCCAGCCCCTGCCGAGGCGTCTCACTCAGTGGCTGCTTTCATGGCTCCAGTTATTTCCAGGCTTGGCCGTTTGCACGTGTAAGTTTCATCTACTTATAACCAATCGTAGACATAATTCTGTGCTCTGCTCTCTTGAGATCTGAAAGGTCCAGTTCCCACGTTGCTACATAGTCACCCTAATTTCCCTCACCTGTTGAGATGACTAATCACGAAAGATTTAAACCAAATGCCTCCAAAAGGAGAATGTTTGTTTACATTTTCACTTCTATAAATAATGCTGAGATGGACGTCTTTATTAATATTCATGTGGCCTTTTTCCTATTTAGAATTATATCCTTAGGAGCAGAATTACTAGAGCAAGAATATAAAATTTTCTGGAAGTGTATTTCCAAATTATCCTCTAGAAGGCTTTCTACTCCCTGTGATGGTGGGAGGGTGTTTCACCACAGCCTCCCCATCAATGAGTGTGGCTGGGAATGAATGGCTGTATTCAAGCTGCCAGTTTAACAGTGTACACTTCTGGTTCTTGAATAACCACCTGCCTCTCCATCCTTTCCTTACTGGTCAGGACCAAGTCCTGTCCATGGGATTTTCTAGGCTTCTGGGGTCCTTCAGGACTATCTTCCCATCTCTTTGAATCATCTTTTGTCCCTTTGTAGGACTTCTTCACGTAACTTGGACATAATCCCTCTGGCATAATTAGCTGACCTCGCCTTCCGTGATCTGTGCTGTTTTCCAACTTGTCAGAGGTGCCCCACAGGGTTGGACTTGGCCTCTAAGGGGTGTTGAGGGATCCTCTCCACCCACAGACCCCTGAGCATGCACCAACACCCATGCACACACACGGACACGGGTGCACACA